CAGAACGTGCAGTCATCGTACCGTGTGCGTGCGTGTTAGGTGTGCACTCAGAGTTCATTTATGAGACACAGCACCCCCTTATTTTTGAAAAACACACTAGAAGCTTTCAAGGCTGGGTGGGTGGGGGTCATGGGATCGTGCCCTGGGCCTCTCAGTGGTTTCTGCTTCGCCTCCTGGCCCATGGGGCACGCGTCCTCCACCCGGCCCCTCCCGCCTCGGCCAGCACAGCCGGAGCCTAGAGGGGCGCGGGCGAGGCTGGGGGTCCCACCAGAGCAAACACAGCCCCTGCGTGTGGCCAAAGGAAACAGCCCTGGGTCAATATTAGCTCGTGCGGAACGGGCCCAAGGAACGTGTCGTTTGTCCCCTGTGGTCTCAGGGAGGGAGGAGGAGAGGTGGACCCAGTTGCTCCCAGAAGCCCGGGATGTCACTGGTCCAACCTCCCTCTGTGCGGATGGGGAAGCTGAGGCCTGGAGGTGGCGGGGACTTGCCTCGGGTCACAGTGTGAGTTGCGGCACCGGCCAGCAGAAGAACACTCCTTTCTCTGTTCTTTTCCTTTGGGGGTTTTGGCTTCTCCCCCCGGGGCTTCGGGGAGGCGACAGGAGGTAGGTCAGCGAGCACTGCGGTGGGAGTCAGGAATCCCGAGTTCTAGCCCCCGCGCCGCGTGCCCCACGGTGGGGCTCCGGGATGTCCGCTGCCTTCCCCGCGGTCTCAGAGCTCCCCTCTCCCAGCACACTGGCCTCCAGCGCCTCCACGCTGCTTGCTCAGGTCCTCACACTCAGGTGTTCAGGGGCCAGGTGCCGAAGGTGAGCGTGCGACGCGATGCAGCTTGCCAGGTGCCGGGTGAGGCGAGGGCTGTGCAGACTGCAGGCGTGTGCCCTGCGAGCGAGAAGGCCGAGTGCAGCAGCCACGGGAAGCACGGGGTGGGTAGGCTCCGCCGACTGCTTTCCCCGAGCAGCTGGCGTGGGGCAGAAGGACAGACCCCCCGCTTTCTGTCCCGGTGGAGACGGCGGCGGCCTGGCTGGGGCGGCGGCATCCCAGGCCCAGGGGAAACCCCGCTGCGGGCTTTGCAAGGCTCAGTTGAGATGCGACCCGAGGAGCGAGGAGTGGGCTTAGCCGGGCCCGGGAGCGGCTTGGCCCTGTTCTGGCCTTTGTGTGGGGCCGGCTGTGGGGACGTACACAAAGCCCGCCCACCTCCTGCCTTGTCCGTGGGCCTCCTGTCTCCCAGCTCTGGCCACCTCCCCCATCCACGCTCCTGCCACAGGAGAGCCACGGACTGGCAGCCACTGTCTGTACCCTGGCCCAGCCGCCCCCACCCCCTGCAACCCTCAAAGAAGCCAAGAACAAGCCAGCATTTGAGCCCCAGCCCTACCGTGTACCGGCTGTAGGATCCTGGGCAAAGTAACCTCCCGAAGCTTCGGTTTTCTCATCTGTAAAATGGGAATCCACTGGGTTGTTGTGAGGACTGGCCAAGTAAGGTAAGCCCGTGTGCTGCGAAGCAGGGGCTCAGTTGCACACCCTTTCCTCTCACGCTTGGCTCCCAGATTGCCTCCTGCCTCCTCCTGGAGGTCTCTCTTGACTGCCACAGCCCGGGCTCAATTCCAACCTCTAGACTCAAAGGAGGAATAGTTTGGCAGTGGGACAGAGATGGGGGAGCAGGAAAGGAGCTTGGCAAGCGTCTAGAACCCCTTCTCCTTCTGAAGCTCAGAGAAGAGGAGGGAGTTGGGTCGGGTGGCACAGTGACCTAGGGGCAGAGACGGTTCTGGAGGTCTCTACTGTTCCTCCTTGTGCAATCGCTCTGCTTTTTCCGTTTAACGTCCTGCCACATATAACCATCGAATGTCCATGGGGGAAGTTCGTCTTATTTCGTGAATGAGCAAACGGAGGCACAGACTAAGGACAGAAAGCCAGTAAAATAGAAGTGGCCCCCGGTACAGTGGCCCTTCCCAGTACAGCACATGGCCTCCTGTGGTCTGTACTCCTTCCCTTCCAGTAGCCCAGGCAGCCTGTGGACAAGCATTATGGACACCCGCTCTGCACCTTGCCTGGTTCAGCCTCCACTCCAGAGTAATACACAACAGGAAGAAGAGACAGCGTCATCAGGGCCTGAAAAATGTTACCAAACCCAGGGCACACAAGTAATTCAAAAGAGGAAACGACACAGAAACAACGGCAAAAAAAAAAAAAAAAAAAAAAAAAACCCCAAAACAAACCAGGTAGGAATATGTTTATAACCTGACATTTTAACAGATACTGTCACTTACAATATCAACACACTCGAGGCTCCTTTAAAAATGGTGACAAAACTCACCGGCCAGCCAAAAGATAAACTGTGTCAAGAATACTTGCAACGTCTATGACTGACCAGAGATTAACTTGCTGAATACGTCAAGAGTGCCTTCAAATCAAAAAGAGACAGATTCCCCGACCCACGGAAGAAAATGGGCTAAGGATCCAGCCAGTCTACAGAAAAGGAAGCGCAAACGGCTCCGAAACACGTGAGAATATTCTTTACCTGCGAAATGAACCACAAAGCAAGCCATGTTTTCATCTATCACATCGGTGAAGATTAAAAGTTTGATAACTCACTGTGTTAGTGAGGATGTGGGAAACGGGGCTCTCTTACGTCGCGGGTGGGAACATATATTAGTACGGCCTCTGTGAAGACCACTTTGTCCATTTGGATCAAAACTGGCACCCTCCCACCCTTTAGCCGAGTAATTCGGCTTTTAGGGACTTGTCTCACACGTGTCTTCGAACCGTGTGAAATCGATGCGCATACGAGGATACATATTGCTGTAGTGTTTGTGATTTGCAAAAGGTTGGAGACCAGTCTCACATCCACTGGACGTCCATGAAAGGTTCTCTAGTCGTGAGACAGTCACTCGAAGGAGGACGATGCAGCCATAATCCGGACTGGGCACGCTCTTCGTGTGCTTATACGGAACAAGCTCCAAACGTCTTTTTCGGTGAAAAACTCACGGTGCAGAACGTGTTTAAGGAAGATAGGCTACCGTTCTCGGTAATGGTATGTGTGTGGCATAGTAATCTCTGGAAGGAAACATCAGAAACCAGGTAATAGTGTTGCCCTGGGGGGGGGGGGCGGGGGATGAATACTTATTTTTCATTTTATAGTCTGTCGTAGACTTTAAATGTGGTGCCACGTACCTTTGTTAGCTGTTCAAAATCGATTACAAAAGTGAATGGCGAGGGTTTTGCTTTCCCCGTAGGGAGAGGGGCTGACAGGATACTCTCAGGCATTGTTGAACGGGAAACAAAGAAGCGGAGAAGGTCTCCACCCTGCGTGTATCTCAGCATTTCTTTTGAGTCCCGAGCAGCGTCGGGGTGGTCCCGTGGTGTGGTGGAAAGTATACAGGATTTCAAGCCTGAACGTACTCCTGGCAAACCGATTCACCGCAGGAACCCCCAGTTTCTTAGTCTGTAAAATGGGGAGAAGAACAGCGCCTTCGGGGGGGTCCCATGAGACGACGCATGTGAAAAGCCAACCCTCCGGAGGTGCTCTGCCAGGCTGCCCCCTCCGTCATCCCTGGGAACCCCCTCGGGAGCAGACCCCGGCCCCCTCTCCCCTCTCCCCCGCCTCCCCAGAAGGAGCAGCTTAGCAAAGCGGCTGGGGGTGGGGTGGGGTGGAAAATGTCAACATCAGATTAGCCCCATGGGAAACAGCACACTTGTCCAACCACAAACACCCCCACGTTTCCCTCCAGGGGAGTGGGGTTTTAGGCGAATGGGGTGGGGCTGAGGCTGGTGAAGCCGGTGACGTCTCTAGGCCTTGTACCCCTCCCCAGCCTTCTTGGCCCAGGTATCTTTGGGGGGCGGGGACAACATGGTCGGGGCTCTGGGCCTCATAGCTGCCCCGCTCTGATGGATCCAGAAGACCCCAGAGAAGGTTTTGGCTTTACCGGGGTGGCGTGGACAGAGCAACGGCCTCTGATTAGCGGCTGCCAGAGAATGGATCCTACGGGCTATGGGGAGCCGCGGAACGTTCTTGAGCCAAACAGGGCTTGTTCCGAATCAGCCTGTAAGAAGTATGGTTGGCAGGGGGGATGGCAACGGATCGGGGGAAGAATAGATGCCCCCCTGATGTCCAATCCAACATCCCCATCGTTATCTTGATCTTTATAATAATTCTGCAAGAAAGGCAGACTGTTGTTACACCCGTTTTACAGGTGGGCAAACTAAGAGGCGCGGTGAGGCTGGCCTCACAGCTTGCTAGGGGCAAAGATGGGGAGTGAACCTGGGTGTGCCCCCTCCCAGGGTCTGTGGACTTCCCCTGCACCTGATGCCCCTGTCATTGAGGGGACAGCTTTTTTTAGATCACAGGTGCATCTGCCTTATGCCTTTGACTAAGAAGTGGTATTGTTACCCGTCCCCGTGCTGCTCTTACTAATGTCATGACTGTGACTGGCCTTTTTCTTCCCCAGTTGGGTTTTGGCTGGAGTCGCTGGGGCTGCTGCCTGTGGCCCCGGCCTGGCCCAGGCTGGAGGAGCCCCGAAGGGGCAGGAGGCCCCCACTCCGACCTCCTAGGAGGGGCTGAGATCTGGCGGGCAATGGCAGTGCCCTGCAGCCAGCGCCTTTGTGTGGCTCGCTGCTCTGTCCCCAAGGCCTAGCGCAGAGCTTCGCAGATGGTGGGCACGCAATACGGGCTTGTTGAATGGATAAGTGAGTGACGCAGTCGCCTGGCAGATTCACGCAGCTGCTCTGTTCCCTAGACCTCCAGCAGGCCTGGATTCCCTTGACCTTCAGGCCGATGTGGGTGCAGCCACAGGGTCTGAACAGGTGCTTCTTATTAGGGCAGCCTCACGAGCACAGCGCCGGACTTTTCGGTTTCTGGGCAGATTCTGTGGGAGGTGGTGTGGCCTTCGGGACAAGCAGGGGTCCTCAGTGGTCTCCTCATTTGTCCAGTGTTTTTAATTGTTGAAGAACACACACACACACACACACACACACACACACACACACACAGAGAAACGCATATATATGTGTATATATCACTCCACATATATGTATATATACATATACATGCAGGGCTGTGTTGGGGGTGGTGAGGTTCAGTAGCTGACCCGGGCAGGTGGCTAGCGGCCGCTGGGGGGGGGGTGAGCAGAGCAGGGGCGGTGGCCCCTGGGGCAACAGCAGAGTCCAGTGGGGCTGCCTCATCGCCGCCCGGCTTGCCCACCTGCCCAGGGCCGTGCCCAGTGCTGGCAGGGAGAAGCCTCGGCCGCAGTTGGCCTCTTCAGCCCGCAGCCGGCTGGGGACCGAGCTTTCAGCAGTTGCTTGAGATTTATTGGCGGCCCTTCCTTAAAGGGCTGCAGTCAGGAGGCTTGGGCCTGCCGACCGGGGCCCCCCGGCTCTTTAGTCAGTGCCAAGGAATCTGAGGCCACGCAGTCAGGCTGGAGGGTGTCCAGGCGCCGGGTACAGCTGCTCTGAGTAGATGACCTGCCTGGCCCCGGGGCCTGGCCAAGGGGCGCCAGGCCTCAGACAGTGTGGCATGGGATGCCTCCTTGGTGTTACAGACAGGGAGTCGGGGTGGATTGAGAGATGACCATTCTAGGTCCCACGGCGAGTCTGTTCTCCAGTTAAGACGGGAAGCCAGGCCGGTGCAGGCCGCAGAGCGAAGTGTTTACTTGCTGAAATGGCCTTGTTTCTGCCGGTCCTTGTTTGTTCCCCCCGTCCCCCCCAGAACGTTCACCCCGTGAGAGCAGGGACCATGTCTGTCTCGTCCCCTGCTGCGTTCCGGAGCACCTAACACAAGCCTCTTGTTGAATGGATATTCACGGATATCAAATGAAAAAGACCTGGGCAGGGTTTCTGTTTCTCATGTCACAAGGTGTCCAGAGCAAGAGGGCTCCGGGCCCGGTGCAGAGGCTTTGTGATGCGCTCAGGACTCCGGGCTCTGTCTCTCTCCGCCAGTATTCTTAGGGTATGGCTCTTGTCTTCATGCTTCCAAAATAGCTGCTGCTCCCCCATGCATTGTGCCTGCATTCCTGGCGGCGATAGGGGAGTTCGGACAAAGGGTAGAAGGGCAGGCATTTGTGGAACCTGTCCCTTTATGATCAGGGTAACCATAGATTTCCCAGAAGTCCCTTAATAGTACATTGACCAGAACCCGAAATAGTAGTTCTCTGCCTTTCTTTTTCTTTAAGCCTCTTCCAGGGCCTGTCGCTTTTGTTGTTTGGTTGTTGTTGTTTTTATTTGGTTACCTAAAAATCCCCTACCTGGGGGAAATGCCCCAGTGAGATCATTCTTAACTGTGGTCTCAATGGCAGGTGTGCACGTTAGCACCAACTTTGTAGGGACCTGGATCCAGGAGGTTCTTTCCAAGGGTGTGGTTAACAGCTGCGTGGAGGGAGGTGCTCGTATTCAGCTGGAGGGCACTGGCGTGGCCCTTCATACTGTTTACATCCGGTGACTTTTCTGACTGTGGTGCCATCACCTCGGGGCCCGCAGCCCAGCAGAGCCCACGGCAGCAGTGACAGAGCAGTACAGGGTGTTGATTATGCCCCTGGGTGCAGTCAGTGACCTTTGATCTCCTTGGCTGAGAGCAGCCTCCTCCGCTCCGTGTTGGCCAGACCACCTCAGGGGCTCCGCCTGTCCACGGGACGACCGCCTGGTCACGGGCTTGTGTGCGGTCCTTGCCAGGATGACCCTCTGAGGTCGAGGTCTGGCTCCCTTCTGCAGGGCAGGGGTGTGTGTGGGGGGGGGTACCCCGAGGCTGCGTGTGCAGGCCCCGGGCCCCTGGCCAGCAGGCCGGTTTGGGTGGAAAGAGAGGGGAAAGAGTACTGCGTGTTTTCTCACATTCTCCAGGCCACCGGCCTTGGCCCTGCAGGTCCCAGCTCCAAATCTCAAAGGTGGGAGTGGGGTGGTGAGGGCAGCCAGGGGGGAATTATAGGCTGGTGGTCGGGTAGGAAGCTTGTCCCTTGGCCCCGGGTGAGCTGCAGAGGGCACGCGGGAGCCCCCTGGGGAAGAGAGCCCCGGAACTACCCTGGGCCGCGCCACTCACGTGCCTCCTAAGCAGCTGTCCCCAGGCAGGGGGACACATTCTGGTTCGGCCGCTGACCAGCCGCGTGCACCAGCCACTGCCCCCTCCGGGCCTGCCAGGGGCCGATCGATTGACACCTCTTTGCCACCTTCCTCTCCAGGCTGGGGCTGGGGGACGCTCAGTTGAGTTACACGCTGGGAAAGGGCTTAGCTAATGACAGGAAGAGTCCTGGCAACAATCCTATCCAAGTAGCTCCGGCTGTTGAGTCGTGACTAGGAGCCAGGCCCTCCTGAACCCGTGCGGGTTAACTGAGAGGGCAAGACTCCCCAGCTCTTTGTTTGAATAAGAAACCTGGAGGAGTCGTGGCGGGTTTTATTTTTACCGCCAGGCCTGTGGGTGAAGAGGGAAGTCCCAGTGATGTTCCGGCCCAACAAAGAAAGCTCACAAGCAACTCTGCCTTTGAGGAAACCGAGAAGTCTGTTGAAATATATACCAAAAGAACGTCAGGCGGGACAAGCAGCTGGAGGTACGGATGCTTTGGGGACGCAAGGTGACCAGCTAGGAGATGGGAGTCCCCGAAGATCCCTTGTCAGAAGTGACACTCGGCAGGTCGGCGTCGTGGCAGGTGCGTCCCCGCCGGGCTGCTGCTATGGAAATCTGCAACACCTTCTTCTCCTTCTCTGGGCTTTGGAAGGTCCCAAGTTTGCAAGGTTTCCACCAGTTTACGGTGAGGTTAGGAAGAAGCCTGGAGAAGCCCAAACCTTGTCGCTTGTCATGGAAAAGGGCCGAAGAGGCGTAAGGGGCACATGCCGGGTTGCCGCCCGCCTGGGCATTTCCTTAGGTCGTCTGCACAAACAGCAAGATGGGCGTTATCGTCATAGGATATGTGGCAAAAGGAAACCGAGGCTCAGGGAAGCCCGTGACTTGCCCAAGGTCCACAGCGAGGAGGCCAAGGGCTGCACGTGTGAGGATGGGGACTGTGGCTTCCGTGGAGTGTTGGAGGGGCCCAGGGCCCAGCGTGGACTCTACCGAGGGGCAGCATGTCTTTCCTGTCGCTGCTGTAACAAATCACAGCGTAAACAACACAAAGTTATTCCCTTACCATTCTGGAGGACAGAAGTCTGACATGGCTGTCATCGGGCTAAAATCAGAAGAAGGCGTCAGTGGTCGGCAGGGTGCATTCCCTTTGGACAGGGAAAAGTCCGTGTCCCTTTCCAGCTTCTAGAAGCAGCCTGTGTTCCTTCGCTGTCGTCTCCTTTCTCCATCTTCGGAGTAAGCACTTGCGCATCCTCCAATCTCTACCTGAAAAATGTTTATTTATTTATTTTGAGTGAGAGTGAGAGAGAGAGAGAGAGAGAGAGCGTGCGCGGGGGGAGGGGGCAGAGAGGGAGGGAGAGAGAATCCCCAGCGGGCTCTGCGCTGTTAGAGCAGAGCCCCGTGTGGGGCTCCAACTCGTGAACCGTGAAGTCATGAACGGAGAGGAAATCAAGAGTCTGACGCTTAACCGACTGAGCCACCCAGGCGTCCCTTGTGCTTACATTTTTGATGGTGAGCACAAGACACTTTGATGATTCTGTTTTGTTTACCTGGGGCCTCTCACCTGGATATTCCAAGACAGCCTTCCCAGCTCGGGTCTTAGTCACCCCTGCAAAGTCCCTTTAACCGTGGGATTAAATCTCTAAATCCAGGGATTGAGCTATGGGTATCTTGGGTCTGCTTACCTCAGTGGCCTTGGCCGAGAGGTCTGATATTTGGCAGAACAGGCATCCCTCTCTCAGGAGGTTGGGAGGGGATGAAGATAAAGAGGAATGGGCTTCCACCCCGTAGGGGAGTGACTGAGTCTCCCCCTCCCACCGAGGGCCCGGCAGGTGGTGGCGGCAGCAAAGAGCTCACATCAATCAGAACTCCATCGCTTCGGGAAGGGAGGTGGTGCCCCGGACCCAGGAGCAGACGGACCAGAATTCGAGTCCCAACCTTGCCTCTTCTCAGCAGCCCTGCGGGTGGGGGCGGGGGTGGGGAGCAGGCATGTCCCGGAAGGGAGGAAACAGACAGACGTGTTTGCACGTGATCTCATCTCGTCTTCTCCAAGGTGGAGCCTCTGCCCTCTGGTTCGCGGACGCGGAAACAACAACTCAGAGAGAGATCAAACGCCTTGTCTGAGATCACACAGCTACCGTGAGATTTCCCGCGGCCCGGAATTCCCAAACCAGGGATGCCCACCCTGCTCCGTGGCTGTTTGCCACATCTGCTTGCCTCCTGGCCAGCGGCGGGCTTGATGGTTTTCTTTAAGCCGACCCACCGCTTTTTTATTTAAAGGCATCTGTTTTATTTATTTATTTAAAATTTTTTTTTTCTTTCAACATTTATTTTTGGGACAGAGAGAGACAGAGCATGAACGGGGGAGGGGCAGAGAGAGAGGGAGACACAGAATCGGAAACAGGCTCCAGGCCCCGAGCCATCAGCCCAGAGCCCGACGCGGGGCTCGAACTCATGGACCGCGAGATCGTGACCTGGCTGAAGTCGGACGCTGAACCGACTGCGCCACCCAGGCGCCCCTAAAGGCATCTGTTTTAAAAAAGGTTTTCTATTACTCTCATAAATGGAAAGTCACAAAACTCATGGGCTTGTTATGTGTATTTTTATAATGCACATTAAAAGGAATTTATCACCGTAAAAATGAAAAGTGTTCATCCGCGTACCGTGCGAAATGGTCTCACACACTGGCGGTGGGTTCTGGCACTCTCTCTGGGAACGGGCTCTACACCTGCTTTAGTTTCATCAAATCATGATGATATTAATGGCTATCATTTGCTAGGGCATTAAATTTTCAAGTGGTTTCCCAGCACAATGAAATCCAGGCTCCCCAGCGCGGCCTCGGGGCCCTTTTGGCCCTTGCTTTCTTTATCTCCTGCCACTCTGGTCCTGCCGCTCTTGGGCAAAGCAGGACTTTTCTCTCTGTGTTGTCTCTGTGGCCGGCAGGTGCCGGGAATTGAACCCGGGAGCCTCGGAGCCCACGCACGTAACCAAGTACCCTGCACCACCCTTCCGTGACGTCTGATCCAGCAAGGCCGGTGACGCCAGCTAAACAAGCTTGAAAGTAAAGTAGGGGAGGGACTGGCTGGGCCACCCAGGAACCCCAAGCCTGCAGAGCCCCCTTGGTCTGACAGGCAAACAGAGAAAGGTTTGATCAAGTCTACCAGCCAAGTTTTGTGAGTCCAATGGAGCAACTCTTGCCCGGGGGTAGGAGCAGAGAGACCTTTTATAACCTCTCCCGGGGCGGAAATGATGAGCGGCCGTGGTGGCCAATCCGAACTCCAGGACCTCATGCGAGGGTGGGGCTTCATGGCAGGTGCCCAGGAGTTCTCCGGGGGAGCTATGCATTGCAAGTGAGCTCGGCATCAGCACAAAGCAGAATGCTGGCAGGGATTTCCCAAGTGCCTCGTATGCCCTTCCTTTACTGCAATAGGGATCAGTTGTCACCTGAGAAGGGAGTAGAGATGCTAGCTTGCCGGCGAAGCTTGCTAATAGTCACGCTTTATTAATTCCAACTCTTCCCAAGAGTGAGGGGGAGAAAAAGCCCTGACGGCATGTGAGCCTCGGGGTCCCTGTGGCCCACGGAGAGAGGCTCGAGTGAGGGCTTCCCAGACTGCCATGAGGCATAAAGGAGCCAGCTGTGGGGAGAGCCCAAACCAGGGCCAGATGTGTGACTGAGGGCTTTGCTCAGTAATCATTCTCCTGTCCTGGTTCAGACAGAGCTCAGGAAGGACACGTTCTGAGGCTGGATGTAGAGTGAAGAGAACACCAGCTCCAAGGGGCCACCTCTCGGAGCAGTCGGCTTCCCTTCATCCCAGGTCCTCTGTGGGCTGGCCGTGTGACCTTGGACAAGTCGCTCCCCCTCTCTGGGCCCCCGTTTCTTCATCTGTAAACTAGGGCTGGAAATGCGACCTCCCCCAAAGGACGGAGGTGAGCATGAGAGCAAGTAATCCAGGAGCACGCTATGCGGTAGCTACGTTTGCAGCCAGGCCGACCTGGGTTTGAATCGCGCCACCAGCACTGACTGCTGTGCGATTTGGGGTGGTTGCCTTGACCTCTCTGGCCCTGTGTTCCTCCATCTACAAAATGGTAACGCTGCCTTCCACGAGCGATGGGGAGCGTCCAGTAAGCGGGGCGTGAGTCTGCTCCGACCCCGGCTCTACCGAACGGTACGTATGGAGTTGCAAAGACCTGCCCTCCCCAGGGAGGTTCCCCCCCCCAGCCCCCCGGGGCTGGCAAAGGGCCAGCTGTGGTGCTGGAGGCAGCCTGTAGCCCTTCCCAGCCGCCCCGCCCCAGTGGTGACGACCCGGCCCCTGCCTGTCTGAGGGGCAGGAAGGAAGTGAAGAGGGTAGCTGGCGGCTTCCTCTTTTCTGCCCTGCTCCAGGCGCTGGGCTCTCTCCCTCAGTGCCTAGGAGCAGGGGACGGCAGCACCATGGCCCCCCGCACGGCTGCCGTCCGCCAGACCTGCTGCTGCTTCAATGTCCGCATCGCCACCACCGCCCTGGCCATCTACCATGTGGTGAGTGTGCGGGTGGGCGCGGGGAGGCTGTGTGTGTGTGTGTGTGTGTGTGTGCAAGAGAGAGGGCCCCAATCTACTGACCCCCTCGGGTGGGAGGACCGCTGCCCACCACCTCTCCGCGGGAGCCCGGCCAGATCCCTTCCCTGCTCTGGGCCTCAGTTTCCCCTTTTTCAACCCGGGAAGGGGGGGGGGAGCCCTGCAGCAGCTGGCAGAGTGGAGCAGTGGTGGGAGGAGGGTCTTCATGCTGAGCGAGTGGAACTCACGTTGCCTCTGGGGCTCAGTTTCTGCCTCTGTAAAATGGGACCAAAGAAGAGCCGCGAGGTTCGAAGGGAGCAGCAGCCGGCAAAGTGCGTCGGGAGCCAGGAATCTCGGGAGAAATGTGGGCTGGGGCTGTTGCCAGGGGATGGGGTCAGGCCCCAGGCACAGCCTGCCTCTTCCTGTGGGGGATCCTGGGCCGCTGGGAGGATGAAGGGGGGACCCTCTCCTTTGTGCTCCGGGCGGGGAGGGAGGGGGCTGAATCCTCTTGGTTTACAACCCACCAAACCATCAAAGAAGATCTGAGATCTGGTGCTACGGGGTGGGGTGGCTTGCCTGGCCCTGACAGGGAGCAGCCCAGCAGTTCCCCTTTGGAAGCTGGTGTGCAAACCCCCCCCCCCTTTCCCCACCCCCCCCACCCCCCGGCGTGGAGCCTTTGTCTTTTTGCTCGGAGCGACTGTGGGCAAGCCACAGCCCCTTGGGGCCAGTGGCTCCCCGCTCTGTCTCGGTGGGTGAAACTTGGGGTCTCTGTTCACTCCTGCCCGGACCCCGTCTACCCCACCGCACGACTCTGAGCCACACCCGGCTCCCCCAGACCCAGGCGTCTTCCTCCTTACGGTGACTCAGGGCCTGTGGTTAACAGTTCTCTCATGAGCCTAGAAGGGCTTCCTCAAAATTAGCCTAAATCCGGCATTCTGTTGTGGTGGGCTGCTGGAAACTGCTGAAGTCTGGCTGCATCTGCTTCCTGTCTTGGGCAGGACAGGCAGGGCTGTGGCGAGAGCCCGGCCTTCAGAGGGGCGGGGCTCCTCAGCGGATCGGTGCACAGCTAGCTTCGGGGTCCACTCCTGGGTGCAAATTCTCGCCTCCCCGCTTCCGAGCTGTGCTGCTGGGGACCGCTTACTTAACCTCTCTGGGCCCCGGTTTCCTCATTGAAAACAGTAATACCTCTCTGGCTGTGAGGATCGGGGTGCCTGGCGCACAGCAGTGTTTGTGAGCAGTGCCTCCGACACAGTGTGCTGCCGGGCACTTGGAGTGATGCTGGTTTGGGGCGCTTCTCAGAGGTTGCCTTGCCTAGCTCCCACCGGCGCGAGAGTGATCCTGGGAGAAGCGAATGGCGCCTCGGTTGTCCCCACGTGAGATCCTTAGGGCCTCTCCAAGCTCGGACTGGGCAGCGTTCTCCGAAGGACAGTGATTGGCCCCCGCGGCGTCCCTGTGGGGGACAAGGCCGCTGGATCCGTACCCCAGCTCTGCCCCTGACTGGTTGTGTGACCTCGGACAAGTTTCTCTCTTGGGCCTCCGTGTCCCCTTTAGAAAATGAGGGGTGGGGACGTGGACTGGCGCAGAGGTTTCAGACTCCAGCCTCTTGACGGGCCGGGCAGGTCGCGTAAGTGAGCGCAGTGGGGCGGACGGACCCGCGGTGACCTCGGGGCCCTGTTCTGGGTCTACCCCGGTGGCCAGTCCCTCCTTCCTCTGATTGTTGCCACACAGGAATGCGGGCCCCAGCAGCCGCTCTTCTGACATTCAGAGAAGCAGGAAACACGGCCTTTTAGGCCCCATGTTGTGGCGTTCCCGTGTTGGCGACTGGCTCGAGGTGAAAAAGAAATCCCTGTGCGGGCGGGACCGCGTCCACATGCAGGCTGCTTGGGCCTGGCCTCTGTCCTGAAGGCCCCAGGCTTCGCGACTCTCGAGAGTTCCTCTTGACCACGCTTCGTGAGGTCCTCACCAGGACGTGGTGAAGCGACATCAGTGCCTGCCCGCAGAGCTGGAGAAAGTGTGGGCCAGTGACCAGGGAAGCCTCCTTGGAGGCGGTGCCATTAGGGGAGGCGTAGCGTATGGGGGGTGGTGAGGCACAGGTGTGCAAAGTGCACAGGCTGAGGGGTGGTGGCTTGTGTAGGGGACACTTACACAGCCCAGGCTGGAGGCTTTGGCTTGGGGTGCAGGTGGTGGTAGGGGCTCCGAGTGACAAGCTGAGGACTCTGGGAGTTCGGGGTAGGGTGCTGTTGATACTTGGGGCTGGAGAATTCTTTGTCGTACGTTGCGGGACGTTTCGCGGCATCCTTGGCCTCTATCCGCAAGGTGCCGGTAGCCTCCCCCCACCTGCCCAGTTGTGACAACCCAAAATCCCTCCAGGCGTTGCCAAATGTCTCCCGGGTGCTAAGTCACTCCCAGGGTCTGTAATGTGGACCATGGGGAGCCATGGGATGTTCTAGAACATAAGGCATGAGAACAGAGGCGAAGCCAGGAAGCTGTACCGGGCAGGCAGTGCTGTCTGGGGTCCTTGGTTGGTTCCAATGGGGGGACCGTCCTCTGCTCCTTCCCAGAAAGGGCAGGGGGGCTGGGGGCTTTCTTGTGACTGAGCAGTTGGGGGGACAGGTATACTGTCCTGGCCTCTAACATCTGGATGGAAAAAGGGAAGCTATTGCCCAGATGTGTTGATTGCCCAGATTGTCATCATCTGGAGCCAGTCATGGGTGACAACATTAAGAGCTATTCATAGACTCGGCGTCTCTGAGGAGGCTTAAATTAGGTCTTTAGCCCTGGCTTGTCTGCAACCCAAAGCCTGTCTTAAATCAATGGTAAGAGGAAAGGATCCCCGGAAGGCCCTTTTGCTCAGAAATCTCTCCCTCCCTGACTTCTCCCCTCCTAGGCACCTGGAATCCCATTAGGAACGCATTGCCCGGACGAAAAAGCTTACACCCGCTGTGGTTTCAAAACCTTGTAGCACCAGGCCGGGGAGGGAGGGAGGCCGGGGCTGGCTGTCTCTGGGCTGCCAGGGTTGTGAAAGCTCTAATTGTTTCTACACTCCCGTATTCTCCGTGTTCGGTACAATGCACACGTATGACTTTTTAAAGTAAACTTAATTTTAGAACAGTTTTGGATTCACAGAAATGTCACAGACATAGTACAGAGTTCCGTACGCCCTGCACCTGTTTTCTCCTAGTGTTAGCACCTTATGTGATGGCTCATCTGTCACGGTTGATGGGTCGCCTTCGACGCACTAACGTCCACACTCTATTCAGATTTTCTCAGCTTTTCCCTAACATCTTTTTTTTTTTTTTTTTTTTCCCTGTCTCAGGATCCCATCCAGGACACCGTGTCACATTTATTTTTTTTTTTTTTAATTTTTTTTCTTTTTTTTTCAACATTTTTTTAATTTATTTTTGGGACAGAGAGAGACAGAGCATGAACGGGGGAGGGGCAGAGAGAGAGGGAGACACAGAATCGGAAGCAGGCTCCAGGCTCTGAGCCATCAGCCCAGAGCCCGACGCGGGGCTCGAACTCCCAGACCGCGAGATCGTGACCTGGCTGAAGCCGGACGCTTAACCGACTGCGCCACCCAGGCGCCCCAAGGATACCGTGTCACATTTAGTCCTTATGTCCCTTAGGTTCCTCTTGGCTGGGACGGTTTCTCAGATGTTCCCTGTTTTTGGTGACCTTGACAGTTTTGAGGCGTGCTGGGCATACGTTTTGTCAAATATGCATCCAATGGGACTTGTCTGAAGGTTTTCTCTTGGTGAGGCTTGGGTCAGGTGTTTTTGGGAGGAAGACCATAGGGGTAAGGGGCCATCGTCAGCACATGATATCAAAGGTATGGACTCCTGACGTGTCTTAGCACTGTTGACGGTGACCTTGGTCACCTGGCGGCAGTCGTGATCGTCAGGTTTCTCCCCACTGCCCCCACTCCTCCCCCCTGCCCCGCCTTCCATACTCTCCTTTGGGGAAGAAAGTCACTTAAAGAATGGCAAGTTATTTCTTGAGGGCGTTTGGAATTTCTCATGGGGGATTCGTCTGTTTTCCTCATGTGTTAATTACACGAAACGGTTTACTTATTTATAGCAGTGGAAACTCACGGATATTTATTTTGTACTTTGGGTTATCATCCAATGCTACTGTATTTATGTGGTTGCTCAAGTATATTGCTTTTTAAATTGGCAAAACAAACAAAGTAAAGCCACCTCTACCATTTGAAGGAGTCTGTCCTTAATGAAGATACGTTCTCCAACATGCCTTCTTTTTATGTGCCGAGCTCCAGACCAGGGTCTGGACCTCTAGGGGCTCCAGGCCCAAGGACAACTGTGACAATGGCTTTGCTGGATGACGGGGCTGACTGTTCTGGGGGCACAGATGAGGGGCCTTATCCCAGTCCCGGAACAGACGGGGGAGGGGAGATTCAGGAGCGGCCTCTTGGAGGAGGCTGGCGTGCTAGGGATGAGCAGGCCCGAGCTTGGGGGTGCTGGGAAGAAGAGTGCAGGCCAGGTCGGGAGAGCAGCTTGAGCAAAGCCTTGGGGGTGGGAGAGACCATGTGATGTCTGGAACACGGGGAAGCTCGTGAAGCTGGGGTTTAGGGAGGGATGGCTGTGAGGTGTGGTGGGGGGAGGCTGGGCCGAGTTCCTCTTTTCTTGCAGGCTTCAGAGCCAAAAGGAGGGATCTCTGCTTGGTCCAGTCCTCTCCTTTTATAGATGAGAAAAGCAGAGGTCCAGGAAGGTTCCTGGTTTGTTCCAGGTCACAGGGAGGGAGCCAGTCTCCTCACCCAGTCTTCTCCTCTTACCCATTTCTTCTTTATGGTCCAGCTCACGGGAAGCTTCCCCCTCCAGGAAGCCCTCCTGATTTGTCTTTCTCAGACCCCCCCAGGGGCTCTCCTTTCCGCTCCGTTCTGGGATTGAAAATCACAGAGCCGTCTCCTAACTTGCGAGGTGACCTGGCGCAGGCAGGCGCTTTGCTGTCCGGGGCCTCAGTTTCCTCATCTCCTAAATGGGGTCAGTAGCCCCGGCCTCAAGGGCGACTGCTTTGGGGCACTGAGCTGATGCGGCCCCATTTGAGGGAGGGGCTGCCGGCTGGTGCCCAGAGTGGGCTGGGGGAGCAGACCGCATCTTTGAAAGCTCGTCTGTCTGGGGCCTAAAAATAGGCCCCAACTGCCAGGTGGGGAAAGTCCCTGATGAAAGTCTGTTAGAACCTCTTCCTTCACGCCTGGTGCCCCCATGTGGGGCAGAAAGGCCTTGGTCTGTGCCCTGCAGCTCTGTGCCCTTCCTGGAGGTGTGAAGAGGCCGGTGGGGGTGGGACGGGGGTGGCCCAGGGGCCCCGTTGGAACTGAGCTATGTTCCTCATCTCGGGGATGTGCACCCCACCTTCTAACTTATAAAATGCTGGAGGCCCACACAGCTGCTCGAGGGGGCCGTCAGACCCACTGGACCCATGGGGGTGCTGCACGCAGGGCACCCCGTGGGGGGCAAAGTTAAGCGTTTCCTGTGTCACCAGACCTGGAGGGCTGGGCGATGGAACTTTTTTACCCCGTGAGGGGGGCGAAGACAGGCCAGACCCCAGGCTGGGCTTTGTCCTCTTCCCCACTTCTTGGTTCTCAGGCCCCAGGGAAGGGCAGGAAGGGGCTTCTGGGCATGGGGTGTGGGTGGTGGTCCCAGTCTTCAGGAATCACCTGGATTGGAAGGACCCACTGCTGTCAGAGGGCCGCAGCTAAGGGAGGCACCAGCTGGGAGGAGGGCGTCCACCCCACTCGGACTGGGCCCCATGACTGGAAGGCCGGGTCTGGGTGGGGTGACGTCTTCTCAGTCACCCAGGAGGTGAGGCTTCTATTTTGAGGTCCTGGGACCAGAGCCTCGCTCCGTGCTCACTGCAAGGCCTGTGCTGGTCTCCTGTGAGGAAGGGGCCCACAGAACGCCCACTGAGGCCGAAGGCTGAGCGAGAGACTGCATAGGCGAAGGTTCTGGCTCCCTGCCCTGCCAGTCCTCGGCCCTGCTATGGCCCAGACCATCCCTCCCCTCCCCCAGCCTCAGTTTCCTCCCCTGTCATATGGGGGCCGGTGGCCCAGAAGTGTGGGGTCATTCTGGGACTCACAGGAAACCAGGTGGAGACATGTTTAGCCCCTGATGAGCGCCCCACAAATGGCAGCTAACTCTGGAGCCCCCGTTGGGCAGGAGAGGAAACAGGCTTGGAGGCGCCAGTCGACTTTGCAGCCTGTGGCAGATGAAGGACGACCCCCGGGGGGCCCCCCCCGCCCCCCCGGGGGGGGGGGGGGGGGGGGGGCACGCTTCTTGGTAGCGACAGGGGAGGGGTCAACTGTCAGATCTGGGGAGGGGGGGCTCGTTCGTAGAAACTCAGAGCCCACATGTAAAGACACAGTCTCGCTTTTCCCTGCAAAATGGGGAGAAAATGAGAAAAACAGAACTTGCCTCACAAGGCTGAAGTGAGGATAAGGGGCAGGTCTGGAAGGGCCGAGGGCCGAGGCCAGAGGGCAGAGGGCAAAGGGAAGGTCTTGCTGGGCTGTTACATGCGGAGGGCAGGGGGTCCCTGAGGATAGAACGCTGGCCCTCCCAGACAGCCCGGGCCGGAGCAAGATGCTCCCCATGGAGCGCTCCCATCTTGACGATCCTTATGCTACAGTGTGATAAACCGAGGCACGCACCGTCCGAATCATGTTCTGTGAGCTCCCCGCCTTTGGACAAGCTGTCCTTTCTGCCTGGAGTGGTCTTTCTCCGGCTTCTGCCAGTCCCAAAGTCACGGCCCCTGGAAAATCACCTGTTCCCTCATGTCTCCGACACCCCTCCCCCCCCACCAGCCCAGCCACACGGCAGCTACCGTTTCCTGGGGGCTTACTGGGGGCCTGGCACGGATGACCCCCAAGTTACAATCCCCAAGAGAACTTCTTACGGTTTCCTGAATGGGGCTCACCCACTTTTGGTCTTGTCCTTCCCTCTGCCTGGAACACCCTTCCCACTGCCCTTTGGGAGAAAATGTCTTTAAGACGTACTGCTTCTCAGAAGCCTTCCTGGAGCCCCCAGTCCTGGACCCCGAA